AAAAAATCAATGAATCCAGGAGTTGGTTTTTTGAAAAGGTTAACAAAATTGATAGACCACTAGCAAGACTAATAAAGAAGAAAAGGGAGAAGAATCAAATAGACGCAATAAAAAATGATAAAGGGGATATCGACACCGACCCCACAGAAATATAAACTACCATCAGAGAATGCTATAAACACCTCTACGCAAATAAACTAGAAAACCTAGAAGAAATGGGTAATTTCCTGGACACTTACACTCTCTGAAGACTAAACCAGGAAGAAGTTGAATCCCTGAATAGACCAATAGCAGGCTCTGAAATTGAGGCAATAATTAAATAGCCTAACCACCAAAAAAAGTCCAAGGAACCAGACAGAATTCACGCCGAATGTCTACCCTAGAAGTACAAAGCGAGAGTTGGCGCCTACCATTCCTTTCTGAAACTAATTTCAATCAATAGAAAAAGACGTAATCGTTCCCTAACTCATTTTTTGATGAGCGCCCAGGCATCATCCTGATACCAAAGCCTGCCAGAGACACAACAAAAAAGGAGAATTTTTAGACCAATTAATCCCTGGAGTGAACGGGATCAAGTGCAAAAATCCTCGATAAGAATACTTGGCGAAAACCAGATCCAGCAGCACATCAAAAGCTGTACCACCCATGATCAAGTGTGTGTGCCTTGGGATGCGAGGCTGGTTCAACATACGCAAATCAATAAACGTAATCCAGCCATGTAACAGAACCAAGACAAAAACCACCATGAGTTATCTCAATAGAGCCCAGAAAAGCCTTTTGACAAAATTCAACAGTGCCTTCATGCTAAAAACGCTCAATAAATTCGGTATTGATGAATGCGGTATCTCAACAATAATAAGAGCTCTTTAGGATGACAAACGCCCACAGCGCAATTGCGTGACTGAATGCGGCAAAAAACTGGCAAGCATTCCCGCTTTGCAAAACTGCACATAAGAACAGGGATGCCCTCTCTTCAACCACTCCTATTCAACATTAGTTGTTGAAGTTCTGGCTAAGGCGCAATCAGGAAAGAGAAAGAAATAAAGGGTTAGTCAGTGAGAAAAGCAAGAAAGTCAAATTGCTCCCTGATGCAGATGACCATGATTGTTATAGTTAGAAAACCCTGTTGTCTCAGCGCCCCAAATCGTCCTGCTTAACGCTTGCATAAGCAATTTCAGGCAAAGTCTCCGAAGATTAAGCAAAATGTAATGGTGCCAAAAATCACAAGCATTCTTATGACAGCCCAGTAAAACGACAAACAGAGAGCCAATCCATGAATGAACTGTCCATTCACAGGATAACTTCAAACGAGAATAAAATAACCTACGAATCTTAACTTACAAGACTGAAAGCGACCTCTTCAAGGCAACTACAAACCACTGCTCAGCTGAAATAGAAAGAGGACACAAACAGAATGGAAGAACACACCATGTTCAGGATAGCCGAAGAATCTCAATATCGTGGAAAATGGCCATACTGGCCCAAAGGTGAATTTGTAGATTCATTCCCATCCCCATTTTAAGCTACCAAAGCGACTTTCTTCACGCAGAATGAAAAAAACTGCTTTAAAGTTCATATGGAACCAAAAAAGACCCACATTTGCCAAGACCATCCTAAATCAAAAGAACAAAACTTGGAGACATCACGCTGACTGATTTGCAAAACCGTAGTTACTTACAAGGCTACAGTAACCAAGAGCCCAGCATGGCGTACTTGGTATGAAAACATAGAGTATGAGACACTGGAACAGAACGAGCTCTCAGAAATACATTACCACACCAGTTCTACAGCCAATCTGATCTTTGCCAAACCTGACAAAACAAGAAATGGGGAAAAGGATTCCCTATTTAATAAATGGCGCTGGAAAATTGGACATAAGACACATATAGAGTAGAAAGCCTGAAACTGGAATCCTTTTCTTACCTCCCCTTAGTGTACAAAAGATTGACAATTCAACGATGAGTGTAAGAGACTTAAATGAGGAGCCTTAAAAACCATAAAAATCCTAGAAGAAAACCTAGCGTAGTTTTGAACTACCAATTCCAGCGACATAGCATGTGCAAGGACTTCAGTGTGTCGGTGCAGCCAATACCAAAAGCAACAGAACGAAAAGCATAGATAATTGACAAATGGTGATCTAATGAAAACTAAACAGCTTCTGCACAGCCAGAAAGAAAACTACCAGTCAGAGTGCAACAGCTAGTTCTACAGAATGGCGAGAAGAGTTTTGCAAATTCTATGCATCGACAGTGCAAGAGGCTAGAGCTATCTCAGTACAGCCCACGAAGAACTCAAATGAAACGGTTTTATTAGAAGAGAGACAAGAAAAGACAAGCCCCATCGCAGAAAGATAGCGCAATGGAATATGTGGATGCCCATGCAACAGACATTTCTGCGAAAAGAAGTACATTGACATACAGGCCACGCGCAGGATACAGTGTGCCACAAGAATGTCAATTCGTCACGCGCCATCAGTGGAGAGTTGCTCGCAAGTCCAAAACCAACATGCATGAACGTCTCAAGCCCCTCTGCGACGAGCCAGTCTAGAGATGCCAATCAGATGTTAAGACACCCAATCAGGAAGACAGCAAGAGAAGGTCGCTGGTCCCTCAAGAAAAAGAGAAGTGTGTAGAGAATCAAATAGGAGCACTTCTACACCTGTTGGTTGACTGTAAACTAGTTCAACCAGGTTATGGAAAAACAGTATTGGTGATTCCTCAAGGATCTAGAACTAGAAGTACCATATGACCCAGCCATCCCGTTACTGGGGATATACCCAAAAGGGATTATAAATCATGGCTGCTATAAGACACATGCACACGTATCGTTTATTGGGCACTATTCACAATATCAAAGACTTGGAATCAACCCAAATGTCATCAGTGACAGACTGGATTAAGAAAATGTGGCACATATACACCCCATGGGATACTAGTGCAGCCATTAAAAAAGGATGAGTTTGTGTCCTTGTAGGGACATGGATGCAGCTGGAAACATCATTCTCAGCAAGACTATTGCAAGAACGAGGAAAAACCAAACACTGCATGTTCTCACTTCATAGTGAGGAATTGAACAATGGAGATCACTTGGACACAGGGAAGGGGAGCATCACACACTGGTCCTTTGTGGGGGGGTAGGCGCGAGGAGCAATGTTGTGTTACTACCGACGCTAGTTTAGCCAAGCGAACTTTTCGCTGAAGAGTGAGGCTGTGACGAGTTAATGGGTGCAGCATACCAACATGGCACATGTATACATATGTAACAAACCTGCACGTTGTGCACATGTACCCTAGAACTTAATGTAAAATTAAAAAATAGATTTTATTTTTTATTAAATATAGACTAATGTTTCATTGCTGTGTTGTTCACAAGTATATTTTTTAAAGCAGGGATATACTGGTCACGACTACTGAACAATAATGTACAAAAGAGTTAACTATTGAGAGTTTAAGTGGAATATTTTTCGGTCTCCTGGTGTAGCCTTTTCCACTTATTTTATTTTCCAAATATTGCCTTGGTGTATGTATGAGATACTGAAGCTGGTTATTAAGGGATTTCAGCAATTGACAGTCCCTACAAGATTGTAATCACTGCCATCTGGATCTCAAAGATCATCCAGTCCTCCTGTTCCCAGCCTGACCCACTGGAGTCCCCTGGGGACTGAGTTCCACCTGCAGAGATTCTCATTTAATTGGCATGGTCTATGATCTGGACTGCGGGATATTTTTAAAGCTCCCCAGATGAATTTAATACGCAGCAGTTTCAGAACCACTCAACTAGTTCATCCCCTTGAATTTAAACATGAAGCATCTCAAGCCAAAATAGGTTTCGATAACATATTGGACAGAAGAGTCTGAGTAGCTCTTGTTAACACACAAGACATGGCACTTTATAAAGCTTAAGCAATTTCTAACAAACATAATTCATTTTTGCGTTTTCTGAAAACATAGGTCACCCCAGGCTCTACCTGTGCTGTGTTTGGCCTGGGAGGGGTCGGCCTATCTGCTGTTATGGGCTGTAAAGCAGCTGGAGCAGCCAGAATCATTGCGGTGGACATCAACAAGGACAAATTTGCAAAGGCCAAAGAGTTGGGTGCCACTGAATGCATCAACCCTCAAGACTACAAGAAACCCATGCAGGAGGTGCTAAAGGAAATGACTGATGGAGGTGTGGATTTTTCGTTTGAAGTCATCGGTCGGCTTGACACCATGGTATGTACCATGACATGCCCTGAGATTTCTGCCTCTGCAACCTGGAGGATGCATTTAGGCAGTAGAATATACATATTATGTATAAAGGATATTGTTAATTATGGATGGAAATTTCCCATCATCTTTTTGTTACCCAGCTTATTTAATTTATTGTTATGAGAAATCTTCCATTTGATCAGCTAAGCAAACTTGTCTCAAGTCATATTTCATCTTGAGAAAAGATAAAGGGCTTTTCTTAACATAGTCACTACAGATATACTTTATTAATTTTTAGTTTAAAATGCAAACTTATATATAAATAATACAAATCCTCTTCTCAAATTGAAAGTTAAAAAGTTTTTTTTAATACTCTTAACAAAAATATTTTAACAATTTTGTATATGCTCTTAATGAATTACAAACTTTTTTACATAGTATTCTTCGGGCATGGTCTATGATCTGGACTGCGGGATATTTTTAAAGCTCCCCAGATGAATTTAATACACAGCAGTTTCAGAACCACTCAACTAGTTCATCCCCTTGAATTTAAACATGAAGCATCTCAAGCCAAAATAGGTTTCGATAACATATTGGACAGAAGAGTCTGAGTAGCTCTTGTTAACACACAAGACATGGCACTTTATAAAGCTTAAGCAATTTCTAACAAACATAATTCATTTTTGCGTTTTCTGAAAACATAGGTCACCCCAGGCTCTACCTGTGCTGTGTTTGGCCTGGGAGGGGTCGGCCTATCTGCTGTTATGGGCTGTAAAGCAGCTGGAGCAGCCAGAATCATTGCGGTGGACATCAACAAGGACAAATTTGCAAAGGCCAAAGAGTTGGGTGCCACTGAATGCATCAACCCTCAAGACTACAAGAAACCCATTCAGGAGGTGCTAAAGGAAATGACTGATGGAGGTGTGGATTTTTCGTTTGAAGTCATCGGTCGGCTTGACACCATGGTATGTACCATGACATGCCCTGAGATTTCTGCCTCTGCAACCTGGAGGATGCATTTAGGCAGTAGAATATACATATTATGTATAAAGGATATTGTTAATTATGGATGGAAATTTCCCATCATCTTTTTGTTACCCAGCTTATTTAATTTATTGTTATGAGAAATCTTCCATTTGATCAGCTAAGCAAACTTGTCTCAAGTCATATTTCATCTTGAGAAAAGATAAAGGGCTTTTCTTAACATAGTCACTACAGATATACTTTATTAATTTTTAGTTTAAAATGCAAACTTATATATAAATAATACAAATCCTCTTCTCAAATTGAAAGTTAAAAAGTTTTTTTTAATACTCTTAACAAAAATATTTTAACAATTTTGTATATGCTCTTAATGAATTACAAACTTTTTTACATAGTATTCTTTGGTCAAAAGAAATGAGCAATTTTAGACCAACTATTATCTTATTAACAGAAAATATGCCCTAAGGAAAGTCAATGCTTTAATGCATTGCTATATTTTATCACAGAAACTGGACAGTGCCTGGCACAAAACTAGTACCCAATACTACTTGGACTGAATACTTTAAAAAGTCAACAGATTTTACCACCTGCAAAAGTTAAGTGCTACGTATCTCATGGCATCTTTTATGAAACACATGAGACAATGCATGTAAAATACTTTGCACAGTACAACCCATCATGTGGTAAGCCCCCAATAAGTGTCAGCTGCCCCCCAACTCCCGCTTTTTTTTTTTTTTTTTGAGGCAGGGTGTCACTCTGTCACCCAGGCTGGAGTGCAGTGATAGTTTCATAGCTCGCTGCAGCCCTAACCTCCTGGGCTTAAGCGAGTCACCTACCTCAGCCTCCAAAAATGCTGAGTATAGACATGAGCAACCATGCTGAGCCTCAGTTGGCATTATTGATATGAAATACTATTTCCAATCTTGCAGTGCTTACATCATCTTTGAATTATTATATTACTTTCAAACAGTTACAAATACCAACGGCAATGGGAAACACATTTCTAGCTATATTTTATGTACCCAGAATTATCTAGAATCCTACTGAAAAAGTCTCCAGAAACCAACAAGTTTCCATTGCTGAGGTTTTCTAGAAGGTTCAGCAGTGTGGGTAACAGGGAGCAGCACCCTGAGATCAAAGTTCCCACCAGCCTTGACCTGGAACAAATGCCACAGAGGAATAAAGTGTCAAGAGAATCCAGTGTTTTCCAGGTCTATAGCTTTTCTCCTTGTGCTCTTTTTCTATATCTCTCTCCATTTTCTCATGTGGTACTGGAGTGTACCTTATCTCAGGACACCAAATGTCTGACAGCCACATGTTCTGAGGATGTGTGGTCTCCCAAAGGTCAGAATCCAAAATCAAAGAACTAATCATTATATACCTAGAGGGATCCTAAACCATTTTCTAACTACAGAACATGTTCCAAAAGCTGACTGGAAAAGATATTCTGAACTGTCTTTTGAGGTTCCCAAATAATCAATGTAATTTAATGTAAAACCAATATACATTTGGGGAGGTAAAAACATTGTTTAAAACATGTCCACTTGAGAAATGGACAGTAAAATAGGAATCTGTTAAAAAGGAAGTCTATCAAGTGGACAAGAGACTAATTTTGGTGATATACTCATTTATCTTGTTCACCATCAAAATATCTGATTGAAAGTATTGGGTTCAAAATACCTATGAAATAAATCAATGAAAAATGAACCAACTCACAGATTGCCTAAGAATGATGTACACTTGTACAAGGAACAGGACTTAAAATGTTTGTATTGATGTTTACCTCTTTATTCCTGTATTAGGAAGAACTAAGTGCACACCAGTTTATTCATCCATGCTTTCATTCAAAAACCATTTTCTGGGTATTTCCTACATCCACAGCACTATCCTATACAAAGAAAGGGGGAATGAAGGAGCAAAGACATGATCTCTTCCCTCTACACAGTCACAATCCAGCTAAGCCTATTACATGATATTGTGCATTATGAGTAGGAACTATGCCACTCCACATTAAGGATGCTAAATATTCACTTTATTCCAGATGGCTTCCCTGTTATGTTGTCATGAGGCATGTGGCACAAGCGTCATCGTAGGGGTACCTCCTGATTCCCAGAACCTCTCAATAAACCCTGTGCTGCTACTGACTGGACGCACCTGGAAAGGAGCTATTTTTGGAGGTACGTAGTTAGGCTTCAGAGCCAAATTCTCATTAACCTAAGAATTTCTCTCCTTTTATGAGTGACAAGGCAAGGTTTTGAAAAGCAATGAAATTAAAAATAAATTAAAGTTTATTTTCTATCTATAGTCTCCAATAATACACAACTTTTCTTTTTTTTTTTTTTTTTGAAGAGATGAGGTTTCACTATGCTGGCCACGTTGGTCTCGAACTCTTGACCTCAAATGAGTTGCCCACCTTGGCCTCCCAGTGTGCTCGTGCTGGGATTACAGGCATGAGCCACCATGCCCAGCCCCAAGATAGACTTTTCTGATGTCACTATCAACCAGGACTTTAATCTCCCCCCTTTTTGTACTTGTGACTGCATAAGGCAAGGACATTTCTAGTAGACGGTGGAAATCTATAACGATAAATCATCTCTACACACAAATCTAGACAACTAATAAATTTGCTCCTTAACCTTGGGCATAACATCTGTCCTATAATTTCTCTGTGACAGAGAGAATAACTAAGGACCCTTGTTTATCTGTGATTTTTTTTTAAGTCAAAGCACTGTAAAAGCATATTGAAGTACTCTATCTCTTATTATCCTCAGTTATAGCAGTACCTTTTCTAAACTTGTATTTATTTGGAAAATCTTCTCTTCAGTTCTCCTACTTACCTTGGTTGACTCTAACAATGATATTTTCTTCTTTTCAGGCTTTAAGAGTAAAGAATCTGTCCCCAAGCTTGTGTCTGACTTTATGGCTAAGAAGTTTTCACTGGATGCATTAATAACAAATGTCTTACCTTTTGAAAAAATAAATGAAGGATTTGACCTGCTTCGCTCTGGAAAGAGGTAGATTTTAAGTTGCTTTTTTGTTATTGTTTTGCTTTGTATTCTACAGTAGTGGGGTGTCTAGCAGAGAATGTAAACATGGAAGGATGAGAAAAAATTAGTGCCTTGGTTTTCTTTTCGCAATTGGCCAGTTCAATCTTTGCATGGAGCACATGTAATGGTAATATGGTGAGAAGCTAAAAACCGTTACTTTACATTTCCTATTCTGCTGAAGTGAAATTATGTTGATTACCCCATATCTTCTGAATGATAGAGTCACTCAGCCTTCTTTAAAAAATAACACTCACCTTGGCCCCCCACCCCCCAAAAAATATAAGTTTTAACCGACCATAATTTAACACATGGATTCACTGACACCTCTGCCTTGTCATCTAAATAAGTGTGACATCTAATGCTTGTATATTAAAATTATTTTCAGGACATCCTCAGGATATATCATTATGGGAGTAGGTGGAACTACATTAGGATTGATTTCTAAGTTAGATTATTACTAGATTTTCCTTTTCTTTTCTTTTCTTTTTTTTTTTTTTTGCAGTTTAGAAAAAAAATTTACAAAGAAAAAGTTGTTGTAAGAAGGTACTAAACCCTATTTTAAATGTTTGTCTTACATTTCTCTCAAGTCTTAGAAAAATAAGCCAATTCTATTTCCTATCTCTAACATTTACACTTACAATCCACCTAATATAATGAACTTTGTCACATGCATTTATATGAAGCATAACTGGAAAC